TTAGGTGGTTGTGGGGGTGGGGGGTGGGGGTGGGTTTTGGAGATGAAGATGGGATTGAGTGGTGGTGGGTTTCAAGGGATGGGGGTGGCTTTCGAGGATGGGGGTGGTGTTGGGGGCGGTGAATTTCAAGGGACTGTTGGATTTTGCAAAAGGGTTGTGGAAGTGGGTGTTTGGTACTTTGGTGGTGGTGGCAAGTGTTTGGTGGAGGCAGGTTGTTGGGTTTTTTGTGGTGGCATTGGACAGTGAATTTTTGGTATAATACTAAACACATTTTTTATTTTTTTATAAGTTTTTAAATATAAATGACTACCAACAATTTTTATCACAAAACAAAAATTATTTTATTTTTTATATAAAAAAACGTAAAAATAAAAATGTTACCAAACGCACCCTTAAATTATTCTCAAATTATAAAAACTGTTAAAATTAATCTAATTTTCATCTACTTTAATCTAATAGCATAAAATTCATATCAAAATTTTTTCCCTGATAAAAAACATCCTTCTAATATCAGACAACTCAATCAATACCCTCCACAATATCAAAAACCTCAATAATATACACCTAGTTGTCTCTTATTTTTTCTATGTTCACTTTAACTTTAATTACATTTTTAAAAAATAAAATAAATTATCATTTAAAATATAAATATTGCAAGAACAATATTTAATTTATATAATAAAATACACTACAATTCAAATCTCAAAAAAATTAAAAAAAATGACTTTTATTATTCGTAGTTGAGATCACTTTAAATTTTACTTTAAAACCACATCAAATTTAATATGAAAAATAAACTCCTAAAAGTGTGTTTAGAATGACTTTATAAAAATACTAATGAAAATTATTTCTTATAAGTACTTTAAAAAAAAAATAGTGTTTAGAACATCCTCACCACTACCTCTAACACCACCACCCTCACTACACCACCCCCACCCCCACCCCCACCCCCACCATCACTATCACCACCACTCCTACAACCTCCACCCCCACAACCATCACCACTATCATTATCACCGTCATCATTGCCACCCCACCAGCACCACCACCGTAGTGGCGATCACCACCTTATCACCGCCACCACTTCTGTCACAACAATCACCATTGCCATCCCATCACCACCATCATCGCCGTCACCATCATTCTCGTCACTCCACCGTCCCACCATCAACATCCCTAGTATCACCAACCCCCCACCACCACCACCATCACTACCACCACTATCCTTACCACCTCCACCCTCACAACTATCACCAATACCATTACCATCGCCAACGCTGCTACCCCATCAGCACCACCATAGTCACGGCGGTTGCCACCCTGTCACCACCACCATCGCCACTGCCCCACCCCCACCACCTCCATTATTGCCACCCATGACTAATTGCTA